GGGGGGGGTGGCGCAAAGCTAAGACCACATATGAGAATGCGAATCTATATTATTATGTATGCCTTATCTGATATGTCACTACCTTTTGAACAGGTTGGATAGATCTGGGCCACGTGGCCCAGCCGTCCAATACGGTTGCTCAGCAACACGCTGATCGAGATAACGATGCGCCTCTCATGGGCGAAAAATACGGAAATGATGGTTGCGAAGTGCAAGAGGGGTGTACGGCGACGGCGGCGACTTTGAAAGGTACAGAGGTTTGTAGTCGGGAGTCCGTTGCTGATCTCGTCGATGATCGAGAGAAAATAGGCGAAGGCAAACAAGATGGGTGTACGATGGGAGCTCCACGAGGTGCAGAGGTTCTTCGTCAAGAGGGCGTTGTCGATCTCCGCGACGAACGAGAGAGTGGAAGTGGAGGCGAGCAGCGGGTAATCGATCAGGTTGCGGCTGGACTGGGTGTATTGCGCATTGATGATCGATTTGCTTGCAGTCATGGGGGTAAAGATGGCAGCAGGGTTGAGAAGAAAGGGGGCAGTGGCACTGTCAAGGAGGAGGAGGAGGAGGAGGAGTTGGAGGGATGGGAAGAGCTGGTTCAAGGGAAGAAAAAGGGGGCAGTGGTAATTCCTCTTGCGACCAGCAGCACAGAGATTCAGTATGCTAGTCGACGTAAATTGCACGTGCCGCAAGGTAAGGGTTGATCCTTTGACCTTGTACCTTTGTTGTCATCTTCTCTCTGATAGATGCAGCAGGACTCGAACTCTCGACCTTGTAAGAGGATGTGTTGATATGTGCTCTGATAGCTTGTCAAAGTGTAGCGTAGAGCAGCAGGACTTGAGCGCTTCGTCATCCGTTAACACGTGGAACGCTGTTGTTCACATGTGCCGATGTGTGTTCTGGTTGCTCCTAGCAGTAGTATTGTGTGAAGCAGAACTTGAACTCTCGACCTGTCGAATCTGCTGATGACGAACCTTTGTGTGACTCATTCATCTGCCATGGTATGATTATCATCATTCAGCCTTGCTGTATGGATGGATGGGGTTGCTGGGGTGGGGGGTGGGCAGGGGGCCGGTGATTGACGCTCAACTTAAACCACAAGTACACCCGCACCTGATTTAAACGAACCTGAATTTCACTGCGCACCGAGTTTTGCCGAGCCTGAGTCCCATTGTATTTTCTTTTCTCGTACTCCTCCCAATGAACAATGTAAAAAAGAAAAAAGAACCCCGCCCAAAAAAAAGCAACAACGCTATGGACGAGAAAGCAGTTGGATACAGAATCAGGGGTCAGTGTGAGAGTAAACAAAACAACAAAAAAAACAAAACCTAATACAAGCCATATTCGTTGTTGTAGTGTTAGCACACCTCCTTCAGGGCCTTCCCCGATGTCGTTCCTCAATTTTCAGTTTCTTCTTCTTCTTCTCTTTTTGTGCTGACCCTTCCACAACCCGCGATCTTTTCAGAATGAGTCGTTTTCAATGAATTTATTTTGCCTGGGCAGTGTACTTGTGGTTTAAGCTTCGTTGAAGTTCATTCGTAGTACCACCTAGCAGTGTTTTGGTGTGCTCTTTTTTTGTCTGCTTTGTGTCAACTGTGTGTGTGTGTGTGTGCGTGTGCGCGCACCCGTGTGTTGTGTGTGTGTGTGTGTGTGTGCGCACCCGTGTGTTGTGTGTGTGTGTGTGTGTGTGTGTGTGTGTGTGTGTGTGCCTTGGTCTCCTTTCCTCTCTGGTGCATCCAGCTGTTGTCCATTTGTGTGAATCTGCATGAATCTGCATGTTTGCCTTCCTCTCTGGTGCATCCAGCTGATGGCCATCCGCGGGCGTCCTGTGATCTTTGAGTTGTTCAGCGTGGTGCCGCTGGAGTTGAGTTATTTTTGGAGTGCCAATTTCCTCTTTGGCAGCTGTGGCAGGCTGGACATATCCAAGAACTGCCGTACAAGCGCAGAGATGTGCAGTTTTTGCAGACCTTCATTCCAGAGGGTAGGTGGCAAGGTACAGTATAATGTGTTTGCAGCTTTTGTGACTGTTATTTCAGTCATCGGACTCATCGCCACGAAATACGGATGGATAGAGGGGATGTGTCTATACTATAGTCAAGTTGGTAATGGATGACATACGGTGTTGCAGACTCACACATTTGCATATTTGACTCTGAGTGCATTACCATTTTAAATTAATTATTAATATCAATTTAGGAATGTGTGTTTTCTCTTCTTAGCTGCAGCTTAGCTCCTACCACATGACGTCCTTGGCCAAGGTTGCATCATGCGGTCGTGCAGTGAGATTTTATACAGGTAGGTTGGGAAGAGAATGGACTCTGAATTTGAGAGGAAAAGCACTGAGCCTGGATCAGAATGGATGTCTAATATTTATCTACTAAGCCTAGTGTGTGTGTGTGTGTGTGTGTGTGTGTGTGTGTGAGAGAGAGAGAGAGAGAGAGAGAGAGAGAGAGAGAGAGAGAGATTCCAGCTCGTGTGTGTATGTGTGTGTGTGTGTGTGTGTGTGTGTGTGTGTGTGTG